CTCAAATAGCTGTTGTTACATGCAGAACATAAAAGACCCAGTACAGAAACTGTTTTGCAAGAGAACAATGCTGTTGGGAGAAAAATGCAGGCATATTCATGACACTGAGCCAAGGGATTATTAAAGGCAATGAGCCCAGGCACTTATTTAGGAAACTATTTGTTCAAGGAGGAGAGAATAGCTTTGGCTTCGTGGTTACCATCCTGTGTAACACACGAGTGCAGGAAGCCAGCTCTTGACTTCATGGGTCGTAACCCCATCTGCTGAAGAACTTGAATAGGATTGATTTAAAATGAGTCCGAGCACTGTTCTGCCTTTCCTTTTCATGATTTAACCCCAACTGGCAACTGAGCCCCATGCAGCCGCTCACTCACATTCCCTTCCCTCAGGTGGGGTGGGGGAGAGAACTGGAAGAGTAAAAGCAAGAAAACTCATGGGTTGAAATAGAGACAGTTGAAACGGGACAGAGAAGGAAGGAAATAATGATGATAACAAATAATGATAAAAGAATTAGAACATACAAAACAAGCAATGCACAATGCAGTTCTCACCACTCGCCAGCCGATGCCCAGCTAGTTCCCAAGCATTAGCCCCCAGCCAGCTTCCCTCCCAGTTTATATGCTGAACATGGCACCATACACTATGGAATATCCCTTTGAGCAGCTGGGGTCAGCTGTCCTGGCTGTGTCCTCTCCCATATTCCTGTGCCCCTTCAGCCTTCTTGCTGGCAGGGCCTGAGAAGCTGGAAAGTCCTTGGCTTAGTATAAACACTACTCAGTAACAACTGAAAAGATCAGTGTGTGGTCAACATCATCCCCAGACCAAAACCAAAACACAGCACTGTACCAGCTACTAGGAAGAAAATTAACTTTATCCCACCGAAAGGTAGAACAGAGAATCATAGAATAGTTAGGGTTGGAAAGGACCTTAAGATCATCAAGTTCCAACCCCCCTGCCATGGGCAGGGACCCCCCCCAAGAGCACAGCAAAATTAATACACCACTAAAGTTTCTCTGTGTCTGGAGGTAGAAAATACAAATAGAAAGCTAAATTTGTGCTGATAATTCCTTTGATAGCTGTCACATGTGCATGTTGTAAAGGACCAGCACAGGCACAGCTTCCAATATGACGATAGCCTGTGGTAATAGCTGTGATTAAGAGGATGCTAATTAGAATGCATTACACATTCAGTCCTCACAGTTCACTATCCTTTAAGCGAGTTTCCATGTGGGAAGAGAGCCTTATCTTTAATATACATGGATAATATACAGACTCCCATTGATTTACAGCAAGCCAGGTGTACCAAAACATTTTCTTTGGTAGCTCACCAAAGACAGCAGCTTTCTTTAACACAGCAACAAAACTAAGGAAAAGGTTTGTCCTCGTTGTCCTTACAGACAAGCGTGTAAAAATTTACAAAGCAGTACTTAGCAGGAAGAGATTTTAAAGGTTACCAAAGGAATTCTGCCCGATGCTACCTTTGTAGAGTTGCCTCGAGCACTACCTGCTGTCAGCGTAATACACAGAATAATGGAGTGAGCATAAGTAGATCTGTTTCTTACATACACATCCCAAAATCTGCCTCGTAATGAGTTAGAAGCTTCTGAATAGCATTTTGATTTCTAAGTCACGTAAGTATTTGCAATTTTACCCGGTATCAAGTTGCACATGCAAACAGACTGGTTTGAAGCAGAAGGAACCTTTCCACATTCTTTTGCGCTGGAGGTATTAATGCACATATGGGTGTTCAATTACTATCAGAACAAACTGTGCAACTGCACTAGAATCGTATAAAAATATGCAAAGCAGGAAGCTTGAGGCTTATTTATACTAAAATTCCTCTAGGTGTTTGAAAAGACTTTGTAATGTCAGCATACTCCCACCTGACTATATTCTTTATTGCCAGCATTGTAAAGTGGCCTTCCTGGATGCAAAAGCTGGATCTGAATATATTCACTTCAAAGATGCAAGTGTTTTCTCCTCTTAAGTAAAAAATGACCAAAGAGGAAAGGTAACCTAATTATTTTCTTTCTTTCAGGAAATGATGAAATTTATAGAGTGAGAATTCGTGAAAAATAAATTAAAAACTGGATTATCCCTCTTTTATTTTCTCCTGCTCATTTTTTATCCTTTCTTGTCCTTGTCATCATTCATCCCTCTTCCCCCCCCACGTTATCATCCTTGCTATCCTTATCAGCATTATTACTTTTGTTGGCATCCAATTCAAAAGCCTGCCATCCCATCACAGGTTTATATTTTCAGATACAGGGTGGAGGTTTTGGGTAGAATCCCACCTTTTGGGGGCCCATGGAGGTGCATGGGGGGAAAAGCAGATAAGAACAGTAAGCCTATAAATCTCCACATCTATAAATCTTAAAATGGATTACTGATGACAGTGACTCTTTAATGGAAAGAGTGACAGTCCATGTAGATGAAAGACAGTGTAATTCATGGAGGCTATTAGATCTGAGAGGCCTTTTCATTCCCATTTGTCTTTCAGTGTGATGTGTCAGTTTCTGGGAGATTATTCTCTGGGGAGAGATGTGCCCAACTCATCAGGGCCTGAAAAGCATTTGTATTTATTTGTCTGGCATTTGCCATGGTGGGTAATACATTTGCTCCTCCTGCACTAGGGAGGAAAAACCCGCAGTGCCGGTGAGGGATGGAGAAGAGAGAACCCAACCGAATACCCTGCTCATAGAGCCTCTTGGTTGCACCCACTGTGTTTTTAGGATTAAAAGTGTCCAGAAACCCATCACAGGGAAGTAGAAGACTCACAGCCAAGTTCTTGATCAGCTGGGAAGCGGCTGTGCCCAGGCACTCCCTTCATAGCTCCTGTGCTGCAGCTTTGCAACAGGAATAAGGTCTTGGCTGAGAAGTCAAGCCACTACAGAAATATACACCCAGCAAAAGCAGTTTGGGGTTTAGAATGCATCAGAATAAAAGTGCAGAACAACGAGCAGGCACTGGGGGATTTACAACTAAAAGCACTCGCTTTGCCAAGGTTGTGTTCCTTCACTTTGATCATGGATTACCAAGTTACTGCGCAACATGTTCCCATGGGAAACTAAAGGCCAGCTGAGTTTCATCAAGAAATAAGCTGCTGCTTTGACTCCAAAGAGGCTGGGCAGAGGATTTACTGTAACACAGTCACTTAATGCAGGTGATTGACTGTTACTGCTACCTGCAGCAGCCTGAAATCTGTTGCCTCTGCATCCTTGCTGTTAGTACAATTGTTCGTTCAGGGACTGAGACACTCACGGCACATTCAATTCCTCGCTGTGCAAGTGGATATGATCCCCATCAAAATCAATTGACTGAAGTCAGACACTGCATCTTCAGTTGCTAAGGAAAGAAAGATCTGTGTTGCTCATGAGAAGGCCACTGGTGCAGAAAGTAACTTAGCACTAGCAGCTGCTTTATGGCAGCAGAGCCTGGCAGAGGAGATTCAGAAACGCAGGCAGAGGATGGAGCAGGGCCCTGTATTATGTAGGAGTCCTAGGGACATGCATGGGAAGCAGCTCTGAGCAGAGGGCTGCTCCTTGGCCATGTGTGGAAAATTCCCATTCATTTTCTGAAGGGAAGTGTGTGTATGTGATGTATTTGTTTGCTTATTTATACAGCAAAAAAAGATCAAGAACATTGCTGTCAATCCATAGAGATCTGGAACCATACCCTCTCACTGCAGCCAGGGACCTGACAGGGGCTGCAGTGCTCTAAATTACTTATTAGCTAATTAGTCGATTACTATTATTTATTAGCTTATTACTATTAGCTATTGAGCCGCTGGCTGGCCATTGCAGCAGCCTCATATTGCCCATGCCCTGTAGAGATAAAGACCTGCTTGCTCCTAGGTCTGGTTCAGCCCAGGTCAGCAGTGGCAACCTAACACTGCTGCCCTTTCCTATAGGAAGTGGGCGGGTTGGGATGAATCACAGGAGACTACACTATCTGGTCTAGGAGAGGCTCAGTTTCAGTGCTGAGTCACTGGCAAGGTGGTGTGGGCAGCCTGGGGCTGTGTTTGCCTTGTGCCTCCTGCTTTTTCTATGCTTATTTTTGCTCATCTAAAAGGTCATGTGTCCCTATGCATCCTTTTATTAAAGTTCCTCCAGTGCATCTAGCCAAGGATGGGTTTGTGATCCTCACTGCGTAACATGAGGGTTTTCTCCCTGTGCATAACCCTCATTGGCATTATGGCTGCCTCAGCCTGGCTCTGACACCAACACAGATTCCACTTTTTTCCAAATAAAACCAATATTGCTACTGTTATGTATTATTTATATGGGGAAAAAATACTGAGAGAAAGAAGTGGGGAAAAAATTATCTCATTCTTTCTAAAAGCTGTGAGCAGATGAAAGACAAAGAATATAGAATTAGAATAAAAGCAACCCTCAGCTAATTTTGGAGCGCATTTCATCTTCACAAGAGCCCTCAGTTTGTAGCTAATTCTTTGTAAACCTTCATTCCATTTGTTGCAAGTTCAATGCAAGAAAAAACGGGAGCGGTGGTTTGAACTGTTCTCCATCCCCCCATCCCACAAGAAAAACTCGGGTTTAAAGATGACTTTTTCATATGCAAGGATCCAGCCAAGGACACCCTTGCTAATCTTTCAAAATGCAGCATTGTGCTCCTTCAAAGTATTAAAAGCTGCTTGGATTTTGAGTGAATGTGTAACCCTGCATTAAACTCCTAATGGCTAACGAGACAGAACTTGGTTATGAGGACTAAAATATAGACAATATAAATCAGCAGCCTGGATTGAACACTCATCCTTTTTTTACTTTCATTAAATCCATTTTAAACTAACTTTACCATTTATCTTTCATGAGATTTTCATTACTTTCCCATCCACTGAGGACAAGACGGAGCAGTCAGTTTTATTGTTCATTTGTCTAATCTTCTCTTCACTGTGGGTTATTCAGGCATTTGCATGTATATTTCAATGCCAGCCCAAGCCTGTGCTGTCCCTTCTCCTCCTCTGCTCCACCTTTCTTGCAGATGGAAGGACAAAATATGCAACTTTTTAAAGATATATAAATAACTAATAACTTGCAGTGTTGTTCTAAGCTGGAGCAAATCATGCAAACAATAAAAATGGCTTTTGTCAGCCCTGTTTCCCTCTAGACATTTGCATGTGTAGTCCATATAGATTTTTTTCCTAGCTTGAAGTGATATACTAGTTCTGTCCAAAGAGGCAAAACTGCTGTCTCTTGGGTTACCATTCATGCATAGTCAGTGGTGTTTCACTGGCTAAATCTTCTTACCTCATTTGGGCAAAAAGTTGCATGGGTTATGTGGGCTTTATCTTGCATAGGTAAAGTAGTAAAGTCTAATTTAGTAACATCAATGAGATTTCTGACTTTTGCTTAACTATAGATCTTTAATTTTCTTAATGCATAACTATGAAATCCCTCACAATGGCAGCTTCTGTTATCTGGAAAACATTTGAAGGACAAAACCAGGGTTTATGTAAGTCAATTGTACAGTTATTTGTAAGGACTGCACTGTAGCTCTCCTGGAAATAATGGCAATTCTGCAGTTATTCATGTCAGTGGAGTGATACTATTCCCCAGTCGCTCTGCAATTAACTTGTGCCACTGCTGTATCCCAGGAATGGAGTAGGTAAGATATGCCATAAAAGAAAACTGTGCCTTTTTGAAGGGGTTCCCTTATGGGCTCAAGCCCCCTTAAACAGCCCCCAGGTGTTCTGTTTAAGCAAGAGCTGGCTAAGCATTAGCAGTGAGGATCCACAGCTATCTTCTTTGAAACAAAGCTCTGCATTGGGCTTAGCATTATTGATGGGGTCGCGTGTGAAGGGAGGCTTACACTGAAGGGAAGAGTAATAGCATAAAAAGAGAGAATGGCAAATTGGCTGGCTGAGAAATTACCTGCATTCAGTCCTGCTGCATGGAGCAGTTATACTGGCTGGGTAACCCCTTCATTATCAAAGGGTAAGGCACAGCACACAACCCTTCTGTAAAAATAGTGGAAAAGCCATTTTTAGTGGAACTATAAATACCATCGCTAGTTAAAAAGGACAAGTCAAGGGTCATAGTCTGTTTCCTATGAGACCTTAGCCTGTCAGGGTAAGGTATTATTTGCATCTTTAAGAGTTTTTATTAGATTTATCAGAGAACAGGCTGCGATTGAAGCACTAAGAGGCAAAACCCACAGCCATGGGAAAATCACACAGGTATCAGGAGCCACTCTACAACCTGAGCACTGCAGGAGAACTTACAAGTGATCAACCCCTTCATATGGAGCAGGTTGGGTTAAAACAAAGCGTGGTAAGAAGGCTTTTGCTGCAGACATTATTACCAGCAATAATTCCCTCACCTCCACTCCTCTCAGGTCCCTTGGCAATAACCAGCTGTCAGAGCAAAAGGGAGGAGAAGATGCTGCGTGGTGACATGTGTCAGGGACACCGTGCCGAGCCACAGGCCTGGAGGACACAAAACGGGACAGCAGCTCCTGGCAGGGGTCTTAGTGCTTCTTCAAGCCATTTCTGGGTGCTGGAATAGACAGAAATAGGGTTATGCAGCTGCAAGGAAAGCAGATGATGCTGTTTCTATGAAAAAGGATGTGCATTCCTGATGTGTGCTGTTGTTTCTATCTCAAAGGCTGAACTGCATCACTCACTATTGCTGCACTGAGCTACTGCACATTTAATATGCGGCTTTTAATTCTTTTTATAGGAAGTCTCACCCAGCATATGTTGGTGCTGGGCTGATTTCCATATGGAGCTCCAGTGCTAGATGCTGATAAACAAACCCGAGATGAAAGGCTCTGTCCTCTCAGGGACACCACACAGGTAAATGGGGTACAGGCTCTTCAGCCCAGTGGACAAGGAATAATTCACTGTATTTTCAATCTTAGAATCTTGTTTTCTTGGGAGTTGGTAATTAAATATCATCGCATTAGAACCAGTATGTCCCAAGTAGAGAACAAACTCATAATTATGTAGCCATCACATTAAACAAACGAGCTGCTCATTAAAAATAAATGCAAAAGTTTCAATTAGATCTAATGCGATATTAAGGATTTGATGATATGCTGGCTTTATTTCCATTGGTTCTAGGCAATAATGAAACAGCTTTTCACAGCGACCCAAGAGGAATATGTTTCTTTTTTAAATACCCGTTTCCTTCTTAATCTTAAAATTACTGTTAAGCACCTCTTCCTTTAAGTAAAGACAGAGGCGGAAGAAAAAGGAGCTTTATTGTTTGCTAGCGTTCCAGCTGGGTTTAGAGGCATAAAAGTATGAGGAACCCAATCTTTATTCTGTGTGCTACCTCTAATATGATTCAGAACAATGTAATAGGGAATCAAATATCTGTAAGGATAATTACAGAATGTACAGAATTTCTTCTACCCATTATCTGCCTCTCCTATATGTGCACATCATAGCACCAGAAGAGCTGTGTGATAGCCCCTTCAATCCATTTCTCCTGATGAAACCATTGCCTTTGGTCCATCCTTCTCACCCAGCTAGGCACTTGCTGCAACTTCGATTTAAACTTAGCAATAGATCTTTCTCTCACAAACTGGTTTTATTTAAACCCTTGTCTGTGGCCCTGCCCCTTGTGTTTTGGAACATGTTACATTTTGCTGAGAGATCAGGATTACACTTGTTCCATCACTGCTCTCCTTTCTCTGGAAAGGCTGCCCAGGGGGACAGAGCTGTAAATTGCATCCCAGCTCTGTCTTAATCCATCACCTGGACCAGCAGCAGAGTCCTAGCAAAGACTGAAACAAAATCAACTTTGCTTTTCCCCTGAATCTCTCACCTAGCTCACAATACAGACACTGTCAGCTTCTAATTATGTGTGGGCAGATTATCCAGTTGCGAATGAGCCGTATTACATCAAAACATAAACCAGTTTTGTTCGTGTCGTTGAACTTTTCCTACATCATCACTCCAATGTTCACCAAGATTAATACAGAAAATAAAACATTCACATTCACAATCTGATTTACACCGGTTTTGTTCAGCTGTGCTTTACTTAGTTTGAATTAGTTCAGCTCCCTCCTCGAGTCTGGATAATCACAAGTTGACTGACTGTAGTGAGGGAAGATGTATTAAAATTTATAGTTATAAAATAGCCTGATGCAGCATCTGCTGTAGATGGCCAAATGGATCAGATTGATTGGGCATTTGCCTCTGAAACAGAGGGTGGTTTTGATGTATGTGCATAATTTGTAAGTGGATTTGCTTCTCCCCACTACTGCTGTGGTTGATGCTGCATAATTAAGAATTTCATCACCAATCTGAAAAGTGCCCTTCGTTTTAGAGCGTGGTTTGATTTCACAGAGAAATCACTTTCCAAGCACAATGTGTTTGGAAACCCCAACAATCCCAGTTGTTCTGGGACGTTTGCTGTGATAGGAATTTAAGGGCTGTGTTCTTATGAGCGATATTACTATAATGACCGATTTCTTGACTCCAACTTGTAAATCAGTGTATTCCAGCAAAGGGCACAAGTACACACACGGAAGTGAAAAGTTGTGTACATAATATGTTAATCTACAAGATATATGAAAAAGGGAGTATCTTAGGTACCTTTTCAATCCGATATCAATTCTTGCTGCTGTGAAATCTCTCTTGCTTTTCAGTGTGTACTATAATGTGGGGAATAACTTTGCAACGCTGCCAGCGCAGAACCGGAGGTGATGGTGGTGAGGTGGGATCGCTCCACCAGCCTCATGCTTGCTCTGTTTTTACATTTTTAGGAAGATACAGCCTCCTTTCCGAAGCAGAACAGATGCTGGTTTGGTCTGTAGCACATGGAAACTCGTGTTTTCAGGTAAAGAACTGCAGGCTGGAAAGAAGCAGACTGTCAGTCTCTGCTGAAACTTGAAGAATGTGTTTTTTTCCACTTTTGCCCACATTATTTTTCCCTAGCCAGCTCATTTCCCTTTTAGAAGTGTTGTTTTGTTGGGTTTTTTTTCTTCTCGCCCACCCCTTCCCCCAAATGAGTAACAATTCCTTATGTACCATTCTACTGTCATCTCCAGGGAGGAGTTCCCATGAAAGGAGCAGAAGTAATCCATCGGCGCATTTCTTCCGATAAGGAGGTAATTGTGACCATCCTTAGCAGAGCCACTGTTGGCATTTCCCTTCATACCACTCTCTGTTCTGAAAGCTCTTGACTGGAGAAAAAACATATGCAAAAGGTTAGGTTTTGTCTACACTTACAGAGTTTTTCATCTCCCAATGACTGAATTTATTTCATCCATAAAACAAGAATCTCAAAGGATCCCACCCTCCAATACACGAGGTGGGTTGATTTGTATTCTGCTGCTGTTTTCTGTAAGATAACAAATACAGGAAGAGAACATCAATCCTGATTTCTTTTCTTTCTTTATCTCCCCTCCTGTTCTCTGTTGTGCCACGACTGCTAATAGCATTCTGGTTTAGTGGTGGATGTAATAAGAGGGATGCTGAATATTGTCTTTTTATACCTGTTGCACCCATATGAATGCTGATGGCAGGCTTCCCTCCTCTCCTGTGCCTCCTTGAATTGAATTAATTTACCTCAAAATTACAGAGCTGTAGTCACAAATACATTGGGTCAGAGAGATACTTAGAAGAAAGATGTAGTCCACTCCACCCTCCTATATGCTCTTACATTGTTATCACTCCCTCACCTCTCTTTTTTCTTTTGTCAGACGGGATGAATACTCTATTTTGTCACTTAGATTTCAGATCATTCACTAAAGTAATTTTGCATAAGCAACTTTCATTATTTATAAAGGTGAGACTTTCTGTGTTTCTAATAAATTTCTATACTCACAAAAAGCCAAGGATTCATAACACCCAGAACTAAATTATTTGTTAGCTAGAAAGATGGTTGCATCCACAGTACAAGGTGTTTCTAAGGACCTCAGCTGACCAGAAGGCTCATCTCCTTTGGCTTGAGAAGGGATTTGACCTTGCTCTTTCTGTTCCCTAGAGCTTTTCTCACAGAGAAAATCAGTGGGCATTATTCAAGCACAGGTTAGGCTTTGAAAAGTAAATTAAATACATTTACTAATTAAAATATAGCATGGAGACATGATGTGAAACTTAGGAACTGGATGTCTGTGTCCATCCATCAAACGGGAAGAGCAAAGGGGAACATCAGAGCCATCATCAGCCTTCATCAAGGCTGGTGATGAAGGGCAACACTTTCTGCTGCTGCTCACCTTTTACCCCAAAACCACAGCCTTTATTGGTGCTGCATCACCTGAGTTTATGTAATGCAATCTGTCCATGCAGTATAGTATGGCTAGGGAGGTGTTGAGAGGCCAGCCCAGGGCTGCTGCATGTGGGCTTGAAGGTGTGGGTTTTGGAGAGGGAGATGGTGCAGACTGGTCCCCACAGTCAACAAACTGGTGTCTCCAGTGGGGCTGGCTCCTCGCCCACTCCCATCTCACCCATCTCACCAGGCGGCTCTGCAGAGACCCATCACTGATAACACTTCATCACCCCATGTGGTATTTACCTGTCACGTACACCAACCCAGAGTGCATCCTCCTTCACAGCGTGATGTGACCTGGAGCTTCAGCCCTTTGCCCGTGCAAAACCTGTGTTTTCACTATATTGATGAAACTGAAAAATAAGATTTTCAACCTGTGCCCAGGAAAGCAGAAAACCAAAACCAAACCCAAGAGAGAAAAAAAAGAAGAAAAAAATCCCACTCATCAGAGCTGTTAGATGAACCTCATCGCACATTCATAACTGCCTTCCACGAGCAGCAGGGCTTTGGGGAAAATATCTCTAAGGCAGACAGCAGCACAGGTCACCTAGTGCAGAGAGTCAAGGTCAGGCAGTCCCCAGGTTTCTGTTTTAAAAATTAACTGAGATTTTCAGTTTATTTCCATGATAAAAGAATTGAGCAGAAAAAAGTAATCCCAGCTCCTTCCCTGATGAAATACATATTGTGACAGAATGCTGCATGCCTTGTGTCAAAGGATCCATAGTATTGATTCCTCGAAATGAAAAATAAGTTTAGGGTGGAGTGCTTGGGAGAAAAAAAAAATCAATGAAATTTCAAATGACTGAATAGAACTATCAATTGTAATGACAGCAGTCAAAAAGCCTTATCCAGTTCCATAACGTTCTGGTGTCTGGGACTTTGTTTTCATTAAATTTGTCATTGACAGAGCGCTGACCTTACCTTACCAACCTGTCTGAAATTAGATTAAAATTAGTGCAGCTCAAAAGTGCCAGTTTTCATTCCACAAAATGTTTGTAAGCAAAAAAATAGAAGATGTGGAGCAAGAGTGTAAATGTCTGCAGTGCAAACTGGGATGCTGCAACCCAGTCAGCTTGGAAGAATATTGGAAAATATCCTTCGAGATTTAAGAAACAGCCTCACACTCCAGTAGCCATCACCAAAACCATCTCCCAGGCTGTTAGCTGGAAGGCCAGAACATGAGAACCTGGCTCTCTTAAAAACCCTTGGGTTTTTTGGTTGCTTAATCCCCTTCATTCCACAAGAACTGAATTATTAACAGTCAATAAATAAATACCCCACATGGGACCGAGGGCTGTAGCTCCCTGGGGAGGTTTCTCCCTGTACATCTGACTCATGCTGTGGGTCTTGCACTTGACCATCACCACCACCATTACCATGGGACTCCTAGCTGGCTAGCGAGGACTCAAGGCTTGTGCCACGCCTGGGGCTCTCAGCATCCCATAGGAAGGATCAAAGGGCAGTTTGCTCTGGTTGGTGTTTCCAAACTTGTCTGCTTGCCCATCAGCCAAGTGTCTTCAGAGCAGGGTCAAGGTCATTTTGACTCCTCTGCGACACTGAGCATGTTGCAAACACCCAGTAAATAGACAACATCATGAACATTATAGGAAGGACACTGCTGGGGTGCTTGCTGCCTTGCAGAACAAGCACAGAAGACAAGTGAAGAGCGCAGGGCTGGAGGGAAGGCTCACGATGCCTCATGGGCTGTTGCAGCACACTGGGCACTGGTGTCCTGGCACCCTGTGCTGCATGTGGGCAGATGGGGCCAAAGCAAGCACTTTTCTTTCAGGTGGTGTCAGGTTTGTGCTGCAGCTCCAGTCAACACATGTAGGGATTCATTATTCATTTCTATAAATCATCTCCCTAAAACTCACGTAAACAGCACCGTCACTTTCCACAGAGGATTCTCCCCCCATGATACGTTGCAGTAACTGTGTTGTGACTACGTGGTGGCTTTTCTGGGTGCCTTGGGGGATGGCTGAGGCCAGGCAGGGCCCGGTAGGCCATCTCCCTGCTCACTGCTGCAGAGCCTCCCTCATGTCCTCCTTGGCTGCTTTCCCTGGTTTTCCCTCTTTGCTCAGTGAAGTGATGCTGCCTTGTGCTACCAGCTCAGCAGCTCCCACGGGACACGTGGCAGATCTCTGTGGCAAGAGGAGCATCCACAGTTCCCTCCCCACCATGCTCTTCCCCAACGTGCTTGTCTTCTGTCCCCTGTCTTGCTGCTCCACTGTCCTCCCTTCCCAGTCAGAACAGCGACTAAAGCCAGTGCTTTAGTCTCATGCTCTGTGACCTCTCTATTTTCTGTCTTTGTTTCTTCAGATTCCATCACTTTTATACTCCTTCCCTTACTTACTTTTTGGCCAGCTGTAGCTAGGCTTGAGCTGAAGGCACCTCTCCCGTAGCAAACAAGTTTCCCTGTTCTGCACCTAGCCATCTAGCAAAAAACCACAGCCTAATCCAAATACCATCAGTAGCGCTCATCTCTGCCTTAGGTCACAAGAGCCTGCGTTGGCTGGCACGTGTAAGATTTGCTTGGCTGGCTCCAAACACCTCCTTCCTGCTGGAAACCCAAGAGGCAGTGAAAGTGTGGGTTCTGGTTGACCTTCTGGGGGCTGAAGGGGCCCTGTTGTTTAGATCCCATCTTGCACACCTACAGCAGCCTGAAGCGGTTTGAGAACACGGTGTTGGTGTCACTGTTCTGCACTCTTACCAAAGCTCCATATAATTTCTTTCAGTTTCCCCACCTGTCTGTCCACAGTGACATTCTATTGCTTGTCTTCTCCAGGGGAAGAGGTGACGCTTTCATGTTCTCTAGCAGTAAGTAGGAGAGGAAGCCATCCTGGGAGGTTTAAGCCTGTTGTGTCTCCTGGGAGAGTCATTCCCAACAGTGAGGGACAGCAGAATCTGCAAACCTGGCATACTGTGCTTGGATTTCTTGGCAAAGAGCTGCTCATTAAGCCTCAAGTCCAGGGTGTGCATCGTGCATCTGCTGGCCAGCAGAAGGTGCATCTGTACATACCTTTCCAGGTAAAGCATCTTGGCCACCCTGAGTCGCTGCATGGGGTCCATGCCCATGGCTGAGGCTTACAACAGCCATAGAGAGGGGGAAAAAAAGGCCTATGTTTTTCAAACCTATTATTATTATTTGTGGCTCTAGGATGGATTGTGCCATGACTGCACAAATGGGTTGAATGTGAAATACTTGCTTTCACTTTGAAGTGTTTCAAGATCATTCTTACAAATCATAACCAGGAGGAGCTACATCTCAATGCGCATGGCAGTGCCTCTGGTATGGAATGCATCAAATGCTCTCGGCTGTCATCAAATACTTCATGTCCTTCAGTATCTACGGGTTCAGTCCTCCTCTCAGATGGAGAATTTTGGCCTTCTTTTGTTGCAAACAATGACACTGAATTTGTAGCAGGTCCCTGAAATATTTGTTTGTATTAAAGTCAAGGCTTTAAATAAGAAGCTCATTGGCAAGTGATTTTGTCTTTCTTGAAGCCTTTTGAACTTTTCAAAGCTTCGAGAGTTTGATTTACTTCATGGCTCAGATGCCAGCTCAGGCTGATTATTTTTGAGACTCACTCTCTTCTGCTGGGTCATTGAGTTTCGCACTCGATCTTCAAGTGCACCTTGGCTTCCACTATGGGGTTCCTCTGGGAATGTACAGGCTTGCATTCAGCTGCAAGGAAAGCAGCTACGATCGGCCCCAAAGTACTGGAGTCAATTTACAGGAAAAGGGCCAATTTTTTCCTTTATCACTTGTGCTGTTGCAGAGAGATGAATTCTCCATGGCATAATAGCAGAACAAAAATAGATTGCTTCTGTAATATGCTATACAACAGGCGGGAATGCATCAGCCTTTTTCCTCAGCAGTTCTTTGACAAATGAAACTTTATCTAATCAAGTTCACTACACCATTCTCCTTCTCCTTTTTGCTCCCTTTATCCAAATTCCTGCAAATCCCAAAATGTGCTCGTGCAGAGGTTTCCATTTATGATACTGCCAATGAGCAGCAAGGGTTGGGTGCTTGGGCTCTGGGTCAGGTGCCAGCTAGGATTCCCGTTATTTTGGGCTGTATTTGTTGTCATGGATAACTTTGAGAAATTTTTAAACCAAGTTTCCAATTCTGTTCAGTCTTGATGCAGGAAAAGTATCACTGAAATGCTCCTGCCCATAGAAAACCTTCTGATTAAAACAACTGCTTGGCTTTGCACTGCTGACAGCAAACAACTCTGAAGGGAGCATTTGTTCTATCTGTGTGTGGAGAAAAGGCAGTAAATGCTCACAGACTGGCTAAAATTAGGTGTCAAAGCAAAATCCCTATTTTCAGGTCCACAAAAAAAGTAAAACCTTTTTGAAAAATTATGCCATTTGTCAAATACATTTCAGACCTTTTAATGTGGGTGAAATGTTGCCTTCAACAGAAGGACGTTATGGTTTCAGCCTCCTCCAGCACCTCAGCCTTGTGCTTCCATAGAAAGGGATATCAAATGAGACTGCAGGAAACCAGTTCCTCTATAGATTGGGGTTTTGTATCAAATATGTGTGCTTTGACCACTCTTTACTATGACTTATTCTAATCTCCATTACACTTTGACAAGCCCTTATGAGGCTACTTCCAGCACTCCTGTTGTTGCCTGGGGCCAGCACAGACCGATCTAAAGCAAACAGATTGTTCTAGAAGGAAAACTGACATTTTACAGTGGGTGAGGCTGACAGTCGGGTCATACCTTGAATTTCAGCAGATTTCATGAGACTTCACACAGAAAGAACAGGCAAAACTTTTCTGCAGGAGCCACCTTAAGCAGACTTTCTTCTTGCCATAAGATCCCGAACAGTGTTCAAATATTCCCTGC